CGCGATTTTTTTGTTTATTATTATTTATAAACAATAAAGCACTCTACGAAATTATAAACTCCCTCATTCATATTTAAAAAAAAACAGAAATATTGGGAAAATTTATTATATAAATTTGAATGGTATCTCTATGAGTTATTTTATTGTACATTTGGAATGATTTGTTAAATTTAAATCGCGACATAAAATTCAGTAGTTCAATAAAATATTTATGAGGTATTATAGATAAGTGACTTCCACGTTCTTTATTTAGTTCGGCGACAGCTCTGGGAGAATATTTATAATATATAGTTCAATTGCGCTTATATAATGTAATTTATTTATTAATCTGACGGGGCGATCTCACCCCTAAAAATCGTGAAGTCAAAAAATTAATGAGGAGAAACGCGTGATTAAAAATTATTGAGTCATTGAAAAATGATGAAACGCCATTTTTTCACGTCAGCTTGACTGAGGATTTCTCAGGAATTTTCAAAAGAAGAACAAGGAGACTCGATGATAAGTCCTTTTTGAAAAAATCTCATTGGGCATTGGCTTTTTAAATGATTGATTTACAACGAACGTATGAACGTGTGGAGAGAGCGGAGTCGGACCCTCGGGTTGTGCAAAGGAGCAAAAATAGATGGAGAGAATGAGGGGAAAAACTGGTGGAGATGATGCTGAAAAGACGCAGTGTGCAACAGCCTCCGAAACCCCTTTTTTTTTTTCTATGATTTTGGGTGGTACGTGAGAGCCCGTGGAAACAGCGGTTTCCAGCGCATGCGTTTTCCGCTGAGTCGATAGGAAACCGATCACGAGTAAAAATAAAAATTATTCCAGCTATTATTATTATTGATCCTAAAATTTCGTCACATTATTTCGGTGGCTCCCAGAGCCTGAACCATATCCTTGCGAAATAAAAATTCATCACAATTCACTGGTACCTGAATTTTTCATTCGATTCCGAAATGAAGAATAAAAATTCGATCATCTCTTCGGCAATATCTCGAAATGCGACAGAGATATCGAAATTTTCATTGATACCTTTTTTATAGCCCTCATCGGACTCTATGAAAAAGGTAATTATAAAAATTTTGGTAGCTCCCCTGGATTCAGAGATATTTTCACATTTTTCGAGTGGGAGTATTTGAAGGAGTGAAATGGAATGAAATTCATGTGAGTGGGAGGTTTTTCAGGTCAATTTCGGGTTCTAGGTCTCAGGTTTGAGGTGGGGCTTTGGGCCTTATGGTTCACCTACTGAGACCGTCTTTTCTCGGGTTTTCTTGAGTCGATGTAGGAAATGAAAAGCGAATAAGGACAGGCACGTACCACAAGAACGGCTGAGTGAGTTGCTGCAACACGATATAATAGTTACGGATAACGGTTTCAACGTAAATAGAATATATTTTTCACCCAAACGGAATGAAAGAGTCCGGATAATCATCGGTTTGAATAGAGGAAAATAACAGTGGGGGAATTTTTTCATTGAGTCTATGTCGATCCACTCTTTGAATTCTCCAGCTCTTCACTGGAATTTAACAATTGTAAATTCCATATTTCATACCACCACTCGTTGCACCCGTAAATATTCATTTATTCTTTATTCCCCGAATTCTCCGCTTATTAAAATATTATAAGGAGAAAGGGATTTAAAAATTAACAGTTAATAACTTTATTCCCTTCTTCCATCTGTCCATCGCCCTCGGTTATTCTCGTATTGCTCTCATCTCTTTTGACTTGGCATCTCTCGCCGCTCATCTTCAGTGATACATATATATAAATTGATACATATATTGGGATCAAGTGGAAGGGATATGTGGGATGAGAGATTGGACGGTAAAAGTTCGTGGTATTCGTGGAAGAATGAAGTGAAATCGACGGGATATTCTCAATTCGTAATTCTCTCCCCAATTTTTTAGTCCTAACGGTGGATTATTTGTTTAAACAATTACCAATTACCCCATGATTATTAAAAATCCGGATATTTCAGATGCAAATACTTGGGAGGAGTCGATTCAATCGGCTCAAGAATTTTTTGGGGGTTTTTTTTATGGAATTAAGGGGTGAGGTATTTTTGGGCAGGGGCTTAAACTGGTTTTTAAATTTGATAAACGATGTCTGGGGCTCAGAGAAGCAATAGATATGGAATTTGACGACAATATTTCAAATTCATGGGTGACAATTCGTTTTCTAGGGAGAGGAAATCATTTTTTTTTTAAATAATCCCTTGGTGATTCAGTAGTATCCAATTTATAAATTCCGCGGGACGAAGTGTCTTCTGATAAGATTATGATTTTAAAATTAATCCATTCTCGGAAGACAAAAGACGGGTAAGAGGATCTGAAGAGTCATATTTCCAAAGAACTTTGTTATTGGACTTTTAGTTAATCATCCGAGAACTTGGTCGGGGATATCGCGAAGGTTTTTATTTTATTTTTAATTGAAAAAAAGAGAAAAAGGCAATCGCTCGTTGGGAGTCTCGAGAGATTCGAGATTCGAATTTATTTAATCTGAGAGGAATCATTTATTTATTTATTTCTTGATCCTTAAAGGACACATTTCCATCGATTGACACAGAAATTCTTGTTACGGATTTGAGAACCTTGGATTTAAAAAACAGTTCAAGTACTCCATTAATCCTTCGCAATGCGATTACCCGAACTTGAAATGAATTCGTATTTTTTTCTATATTTAGAGCGTTCGTGGGATCAACTACGCGTGCAATTTAAGTTCAAGATAGTCTATTCAGGTTTTACCTCGAGTTTACAATTTTAACTCGCGAATAGCGGAGACCGTCCAAGAGGATTTTCGTAATTACCCAGGTGTCAATGAATATCCGGAATATTTATCTCTCAATTTGTTTTGTGAAAACTAGAGATTCCTCTAGTCATTGAAATGGCCGACGTAATGTACTGGAAGATAAACTATCGAGTTGAAACTCACCCGAGGAAAATAGACCGCAATGAAGATATCACTGAAAACCACAGAATCATATTTCCGAGTGAATTGGAGAGGTCGTTACCCATTCATTAAAATTCAATGATCAAACGTAATTACCATGGCGACGAAATTGTTACACAAAGTGGCTCAACTAGAGTACGTCAATGAATATTAAATTTCTAATTTCATCCTGTTAAAGAATACGACCCTCGAGTGTGGATTTTAATTTTTTTGATGACTCGACTCTCCCGCAGTAATGACGATGGCATTAGTCCCTAATTAGATGCTCTCAAGACACTCGCGATATTAAATTACAAATTTTTTATTTTTCCGGAATAATTGCCTCCCCTAAATTAATTTCCAGGGTGGAATTAGAGTAATAAAATTTGATAATTGATAATAAAAATGTTGAGATGAATTAATTAAATAATTAAATAATGAATCGAGGAGTGACGAGGTGAAGATCCATGAATCCATGAATGGATCCATTAATGAAAGAATTCTTCACAGATGCTGGAGGGATTACGCAAAATGCTGTGAATATCCTAGATGCGTGATTTTGTAAGCGAGAGAGGACTGAGAGGCTGAGGGAATGGGTGCTGGTATGGGTAGAACAGGAACGAGTGGTGGTGGTATCCTGGAGGCATTACCATCTGGTACACCACTGCATGTTGCCATGCTGGGTCTAGACAGTGCTGGTAAAACAACAGCACTTTATCGATTGAAGTTCGATCAGTACTTGAATACAGTACCAACAATTGGATTTAACTGCGAAAGAATTCGCGGGGGCATTGGAAAGGCGAAAGGTACACCAATACTCTTCAATAATTTATTAATCACGATACCATCATGATAGTTCCATGATAATTAATGATTACTCCATCAAACCGATGCAATACCATTTGATAATCCAATTATAATCCCAAAAATCACTGATTTTATTGAAAACTCGTGAATTTATTATAAATTTTTTATTGAAAAGCGGGAATTTTCGGGAATGTGAAGCGAAAAATCACTCGGGATTTTTTATAATAATTGTAATGTCATTGTAATAGTCATTGCAGTACTATAAATTTGTTGTTCACTTATATCTGTAATCATTAGTGATTGGTGTGCAATATTGGAGTGGAGGAAAAATGGTAGAATGGAACGTGAGAAAGAACAATGTTTGCTGCAGGTGTTAATTTTCTCGTTTGGGACGTGGGAGGTCAGGAGAAGCTGCGACCACTTTGGAAGAGCTACACGAGGTGTACTGATGGTATTATTTTTGTGGTTGACTCTTGTGACACCGAAAGACTCGAGGAAGCCAAAATGGAGCTCACGAGAACTGCCAGGAGTCCCGATAACGCAGGTGTACCTGTTCTCATTTTAGCTAATAAACAAGACTTGCCAGGTAAATAATGGCTTTTATCTTAATTTGTGGGAGAGAGGTATATCGTCGTTTTCGATAGACAGATTGCGAGAGAAATGAAATATAGTCGGTGTAAAATGAAATGTAGAGATAAGCACAAGTTGTTTTTATCTAGAATCGTTCTGAAATGACGTGATATCGCTGACACCTCGTAAATTTATAACTGATCGTATGACAGAGGCCTTTGTTATTCTATTACACTGAACCCCTGAGGGCATTCGTCATCGATATCAAATCGATAGTGAAGAGATTTTCTGTATGACGACCTCTTCTGCGGATGTACCTGTCCACCTCTCGATAATGGAATTGTTTCCGATTAAATTGAGAGTTCGATTAACTATTTGAAATTTTATCGGATTCCGATAGCGCCACAACGAAGTTCGATATATCGAGGGGATCGGGGATTTCCCGAGCATGAGGAATTTAATAGATGGAATTGTGAATTATTTTTTTATTATTTATTATTTTGGGTGTAATTATATTTGTTGATTTAGGTGCTAAGGACGTTGGCGAACTGGAAAAACATCTCGGGGTACTGGAGTTGACGGGTTCACCGGGGAGTTCCTGTATAAGGGTCCAACCAGCCTGTGCCATTACTGGGGAGGGTCTTCATGAGGGTCTTGATACGCTTTATCAGCTGATTCAGAAGCGACGTAAACTCGCTAAGCTGAATCGAAAGAGGGCGAGGTAGGCCCGGGCCTCGGAGGACTGTACGTGCGTATTCTGATACTGTCCTCGAATCGTAGGATTCAGATGTACTGGTGCATTGGTCATTCACCAAACTCGTCAATCAGGTTTTTCAGCGGCATTGGATTTTGGAAGAATCACTGCTGCATGGACTATTAATTTTTTTATTGGGTACTGCGAACCCAAGGGGATGATGGCACGTCAAGCGATGATTTTTTAATGGTCTGAGCCAACGGTGGGGGAGTGATAAAACTTCGGTGGTTTTCCTGGTGAAGTTCAAACTCCAAGGATTTTAAGCTGATCGTTAAATTCCCGCGATTCTCTATTTATTATGGAATTTATTATGGATCATCAGGGAAAAAGATAAATCCCTTGTGAAAAGCGATTATAAATCATTGATGTAAAAAATCGTGGGGTTAAAGAGAAAAATTGATAATTCGAGAAATGTCTGGAGAAATAAATGTGAAGGAGTGAACGAAAAAAATTACTCAAGTGGAGAGATTCATTAAAATATCAAAGAAAAATTCTTCGTGTTTTCTCCTCAAACCACTCGAAGTATTTGCATAACAAAAAACAAGTGACTCAACCAGTTTTATCACTTCCCGCAATGTTAATCCCAAAAAAAAATGAGGGAAATGAAAATTTCTTCGTATTCCGACGAAAACAGTCGGGAGTGGAGAAAAAAAAACAATGTAATCTCTTAGATGCAACATATTTAGGTCAGAATGGAGAAGAGACTGTGTCGAATCATGACTGACGTCTGTAACCGAGTTAATCCATCAAATCCTACGTACTTGTGCCTCACTTACATATTTTGCACTGTTTTTCTATTAACCCCTTCCTCGTGCTCGTGTCAATGTTGCTGCGATTACCCTGGTGCTTCCGGAGAGTTTATTCCTATTGTTTTTTTTTGTTGATGACGGAGAAGTCAAACGAGCTTTCTAGTGTTTATTATTAATTCGTGTCATGCGTTCGCGAGGGACTTGGGAAAATTATTGAAAGTGTTTTGGTGAATTTGAAAAAAATTCGACGTCATTGCTGGCAATTGATGGTCAATTATTGATTGTTTCGAAAATACATATCGTTTTGCCGCTTGCTCGATCCCAAAAATCGACCAGTTTATCATTATTCTTGTAGGATTCGATTTTTTGCTCATTAGTCGTTTTATGTTTCATTGGATTTCTGGGTTTCACTCGGAATTGGGGCCCAGTGGAGTCCACTGAGGGCCTCGTAGTAAAATTTCGTTAGGACCTTTTCTGTAGCTCTCAATTGACTCTGCAAAAAAGTATTCCACTAAAATTTCGCTACTCCCTCAGTTTCGGAGATATTTCCAGAATACTCGGCATTTTTTTTCAGAACAAAATTTTACGGAAACAAACGACTCTTCGAATCTTCACTGGACTTCACATTTTTCATTGAAAAAAATATTTCACGAGTCTAAATTAGAGTGATGATACTAGTCGACATTGACAAACATTGTTTTTATTTTTTTTTAAACGTATAATATACTATTGAATGATTGTGGCAATGATAAAGATTTTGTAAATACAAGTATTTCTACTGCGTCACTGTTAAATCCGTGACATTTAGAGTTTGTAATGAAAATTGGAATAATTGCTTGAACAGATGAGATATCGAGCCTCCAACGATTGAAAGTCACATTAGAATTCAATAAACAATTATCGATGAGAGATTTGTTCGAGCAAATGAGTCTTAGATGTTAAGGGAATCGTATAAGAAATTAATGTTGTTTTTTATAACGAAAATAATTGAAACGGAGAATGTATTACGAGAATTGTATACTTGTACTTGCCCTTGTTGTGTTTTATTAGTCTCGAATATTTTATCTCGAGTTTTTCATTGGAGGGAGATCACTGAATTTATTTATCGCGTCGAGAGGTCGACGTGATCAATACAAAGAATTCATTGTGTGCAAGTAGTGACTAAATTCCATTGGATGTTTATGTTTCGTCAGTGGATCATATTTATGCAGTAGATTATTTAAATGTATCATTGAACAATTGAGAGACGACGAGGATTGGTAGCATTACGGTTGATTTTTGAATTGATTAAAAATTTTGAGGAATAAATCTAATGAGAAAAATTGTTTTGGCATTATTTTATCCATTTCATTATTTACAGATTAAATCGTGGGTAGATGAACTGGATTTTTCAATGAAAGTGAATATGACGTGAAATGCATCAGAAATGTTTCATTACGGAAATAAAAATAAATCAATCGATTGCATTACCTTTTACGGTGAGCTATAAATTTATTTTTCCCCATCAAAGCGTCAGGAGAGAAAAAACCACCCACGTGAATCGATCCATTTCCTTTTTTCCTCACGTGGCTGCCCACGCATCCATCCCATCATTTTCCCTCCCCTCAATTTTAATGATCACGGTTGAAAAAACTCACACGAAAAATCATCGTACACACCGGACAAACAAAATGACTTGGGCTTTTCTCGTTAACTAGAGAGAAAGAGATATTTCCTATTTGCAGAAAGTTGTCGGTATGAAGAAAGCGTAGGCGAGGCTCACGACATTTTTTCCCGACAGTCAGCGTAATTTTCTTCAATTATTTCGGCACCTCCTGGTTTATTCTCAGGACTCATTTCCGTGGTATTCAATTCCTCCAGAAGGTGAATGTCGGATTCACATTTGTTCGTGAAAAATGCCAGTGCCCGAGACTTTCGTCCCACAACTCTCGACGATGACGATCTAGTCCTCCTGGTGATATGGGATCTGGGCAGGGGTTTTGGTCGAGGTTTTTTCACTGTTGGCTCCATTATTCGACGGAGGGCGTCGAGAAGACGATGCATCAGGGCGAACTGAAATTAAATTAATTATAATCCTGAAGTAATTATTTTTTTATCAATTATTAGGGATAAAACCTTTTTGGCAGCCTCTTGGGCTTCTCTTAGGATCCTCATCTCCTGGGTGAATCCCTCCTTCTCGCACAATCGAACGACGTCAGGAGGCAGATTATCCAGAGTCATGTTGAGATGCTCGTACGTCTTCTCAATGATTATCATCATCGTGTAGCTGTCTAGGCTCGTGTCATTTCGATTGATGCAGCTCTCGTAAGTATCCTCGATGAAAACACGCAGCTGGAGAACAGAATCAGAACAAACCAAGTCCCGAAAGACCCGATGGAGAAGATAGTCTGTGTATTTTTCCAGTCGATGAGCTCGCTCTTCGCTCTGTTCAATACGTGACTGCGAGTGATCCAATAAATTAATCATTTCATTAATTATTTCATCATGTCACACAATTTTCATTCATGAATAAAAAATATTATCAATCGACGGATACCTGGAGGTTCTTTAGATTTTCCTCGATATATCCTATTTCCTTCTGGACATTTTCCTGCGCTCTTCTCATGCTGGAGGCCATCTCCTGGAGAGGTCCAGCCAGAGACTCCAGATGAATCATGGCATCCAAATTTCGAAGCTCCATTGAACTGAATTCTTTACTCAAATCTCTGGGATCGGTTAATAAAATCTCTGGACTTCCCAAGTGTTCGGTGTCTCGTTCGAATCCCTCTGGAAAATTTTGCACAGAATTTTTAATGAGAAAATTTTGAAGGAAAATAATTCACCTATCAATCCCATCAATTCATCTCGTGTGTCCTCTATCTTTGGGGATTTTTTATTCTTCCCCTCGGCAATGGCCACGGATAATACCGAGCCCCGAGATTTCGTGGATATTTTATTGACAAAATCGTAACACGCCTTCGCCAATCTCCACATTTCCTCCAGCTGATAGACCTCCAGACGAATCTGCCCATAATCCTTGGATAATTGATCGCGTGTACCCACGAGAGCATTCGTTTTTTTTCCCTCTCTATCTGCCTCCGCCAGAATATTCATACTCGACTCATGATCCTTCGAGAGGTAATCCTCAAATGCCGCCACGTACTGACGATTTTTTTTCTGAAATTTCAATCCTCAGAAAAAAAAAATCACTTCCCACTAAAATATCTGGTGCACACCTAAAAAGGATAAATATCTCGAGACTGAAGGGAGATATCAATATTTCCATAAGAACCTTTTTCGTAGCTCTCACTTTTCCCCATAAAAAATGTATCTACAAAAATTTCGAAATCTCGCTGGAATCTCGAGATATCGCATGAAAATCGACTCCAGGTGTCGAAGTGAATAAAAATGAATGAAAATCGTAACGAAACCTCGATGTTGGCGAATCGTCGTCGTTCCTCGGCGAATTGTCGGTCAATCCTCATGCAGTCGTCCCGATAAAATCCCGCGAGCAGTCTAGCCCGAAGAACCTGTCTCGCCTGCTCGACATATCGTCTTCCTGAGAATTTTTCCCTAATCGGTCTCCCAGTTAGATCGATAAAATACCCGGGATCGATGTCTGTCATGGCAAGAGGTGCCTGATAATCCTCTTCCTTCACGAGACATCTTACCGATTTCCTCGGTTGACCCTGGTCATATTTTTTTCCCCGTCTACGCGCCTCTGTCCATTGATGAAATCCAAACAGTTGGGGATTCCCAGGAACAAGCCAAGGTGTATCACTCATTTTTCAATCCTTAAAACGTGTTCATCAATTTTTATTTCACTTCCCGAATAAATTTCGATATTTAAACCAAAAAACTGAAACCAATAACCGGGTGGATCTCCTGATATCCGTTCACCAGAGAGTATTTCATCATCATCGCCGACATGTTCCTGTTTCATTGAGACTTGACAACCCCGGGTGTTTGACCTGCGCATACTTCAGACAATCAGCAACAATTCCTCCTAAAAATCCATGAAAAATAGCGAAAAAAAAAATGGGCCATTGAATAAAAACCGAACAATGGATCATATAACACCCTGAGCCCAGTGCCTCCCCAGTCCGGTGAAGAAATATCTCGATGCCGATGTGAAAATAAGGATATTACACAAGTATTCGCACACCTGAGAGGAAAAAAGACAGTGCAAATAGGAATACTGCATCGTAAAAAAATATGTCCGAGGTGGGGAATCGGAAAAGATCGGTTCCATCCCAGATCCACTGGTGTTCTAGATTCCTTCATTCGTCTGTTGGCTCAATGCAACTTCTTTCTACACACATGTATCAACTGAATCATCCCACCACTGGATAATTCACTGGTGAAAAGAAAGGAACTCACTTCGTCCACTTTCATTGTTGTTTGCTCTTCCAAGTTGAAAGGTACTTGGAGTTTATTTTCGCATCGTTTCATCACGACACGTAAAACAAACGTTAGTTAATAATTCTCATTACAATATCCTTAATTATTCGTCAAACCACAAGTGCTTGTGCAATTGAAGGCGAGAAATAGATATTTAAATAAAATAAAGCAGATAATTGTGTCTGTTAATTCAAATATTATCTGGAGATCGTTTGATGACGATCGTTGAGCAATTATTTTTAATGAAAAGTATTGTCACACCAGGTGTTCATGCTCTGGTTGCATGAGCTTCTTGGGGGAAAGAATAAAAAAGAATCACTCAGTTTTCTGATGTGCCTCGCTGACTCCCATTTATTATTCTCACTTTTCAGTGATTCTGAATTGTCGCTGGTGAGATATTGAGGAGTTGGGTGGAATGGATAAACTGGTGGTTGTGGTGCTTTTGAGTTTGTGCCAGGTGGTGATATCGATGTCAACTTGGGATGGATGTGGTAATCGATTGGAGAGAGCCCTGGACTCGATGACCAAGGAGGGAGTCCGGAGGATTCGACAGGAGCAGGATGATCCTGGGGTGATCTATCAGAGGAGCTTGACATCAGCTCCACTTCTTATGACGGTTACCAGAGTTGCTGTCAAGGTTTTATTTTATTTTATACTCACTATCAGCAATAAATATCATTATTGTAATTGAATCAATTAATTTAATGATAATAATTGAATTGGTATAATAATTAAATGAAATACAGTTGCCACGGGACGAGAGCAGAGGGAATTCCTGGGCTCGAGTGGAACGCTGTCAGTTCGAACCGACGAATAATTCCCTCCGGAGTCGAGTAATGCTGAATGACCTGACGATATCGGGTCTCGTATCCCTGGTGCCCCAGAAGAAACATGCACCGATGATGGGTGAGTCCTGCAGGATGACCCTTCGTCTTCGTCGCGCTGGTATCGATTTCATGACGAGTCCCATCGCTCGAACCCGGGGACAGATGCGAATTCGCACCGAGTCCAGCTTCCTGGAGCCAAAATTTGCGTCGATCTATGCATACGGGTGCAGACCAGTGAGTCGTGTCGACAGACAGATAAAACGTCAGGATAAACCACCATTTGTCCAATCAGATGATCATTACGAGGCACCTGAACCGAGAACCGAGGAGTTACGAAGATCGAGGGAGGACAGCATTCAAATTGCCAATGAGAGCACGTCCTCAGGCTTTACCTACTCGAGGTACCTCCTCCACAGGTGACTTATAAATATTTTTTCTCGGTTTCAGTCGTGACTCTTTTTCAGGTACGATCTGTCACTCACTAGGAGTCATCCTTGGGTTACGAAACTCCCGGAGATGAGGAGGAGGAAGAGGTCCAATGTCAGTGCCACGGATTTTGATGATCTCGATGGAGAAATCAAGCATCAATTCCTGGTTGACGACGAGAGAGGAGCAATTGACTGGCAGTCAAAGGAGAATGTAGCCAGGGAGATGGAGGATGTGTTTCTCAGGGGAGCCAGTGAGGCATTGACGAAGTACATCGAGAGACAGCTGCATCCTGCCATTAAAGAGACACTCATGGTCTCCATGGGGTACACCATTAGCTATGGATAATTTGGAGATGAAGATTTTTGTCTGGGGATTCAACTAAATCATCATGAGATAACACTGAATTTTATTTTAATATTTTTTATCAATTATCGATTTGATCCCCTATAATTTTTCTCTCACATCCTCGAATATTTCCATCCAGTAACTGCCACTGGTCTAGTCCACCCACATTTTGTTGATTCTTTCATAAAATCATTGTTAAATTAACTTGTAAAAATGTATTTCAAACATTTACACGCGTAAATACTGTAAAAGTACGAGTGCTTGCTCATAGAAGGTGAAGTGAAGAGCAGTGGTGGCTGCAGCTTTCAATTGACTGGGTAGGAGGCCTTTGAAGAGGGCCCTGAGGCCCTCGGTCTTTGCTGTCTTCATCAGGCAATCGAGGAGTCCATGACAGCTAAAGAAACTGCCAAATCCTACTCGGCCGTGCTCGAATCCCTGGATCTGCAGGCGTTTTCTTGCCAAATCCAGTGGATAAACTGCCGTTTTCGATAATAAACCAGCAACACTACCTGCAATCAGCGAATTTATCACTGTCGTTGATGATCCCTCGGTGATGGACTTGTAGATATCTGTCAGGAGATCGTAGAACACGAATTGGAGACCAGTGTGAGGTGCTATCTGTATCAGAGTCGGTGAGAGGCCACGGTAAAATCCACGCAGTGATTCTGTTCTTAAAATTAATCTGAAAGAATTTATTTTGTTGATAAATTTGTTGAAGAATTTTTTATTCATTCCGCGTCACTGAAGATTCGTTTAAATACCTGATTTTTTCATTTGAGAGAAAATGAAATAAAGAGACAAGTGAAATAATTGAATGATTTTATAATTTGAGGAAAGGGTTAATGGAATTTTTAGGAGAAATACTAACGAGTAGACTGAAGTGAATCCCTTGTAAACTGGTTGATGATGGGCTTGGGCAACGAGTCTAGTTCTCACTGTGTCAAATGGAAAAGAAACAATTGTTCCGATACATCCGGCTGTTGCACCAGCGACGAAGTGCACGGAATTCTGCCAGTGATCAGGGGCCACAAAATTCCTCGACACCTCCATGATTTTGTTGTATGTGTAAAACTACAAGGATAAGACCATTAATTATACGAAAAAAAATTCAAACTCGTCGACTCATGGATTTAATTTCATTCTTTCATTATTTCATTATTTATAAATAATTCGATGAAAAATCGTGGTTTACTTGAGCTGTCCCGTAGGCAATCGATAATAATTGAGCTGGTGCATGGCCCTTCCACAGGGAAAAAATGCCTTCTTCTTTTATTATGGTTCGTGTTGCCTGGAGGATGGAACGATATTTGCTCGGATGATCGTGGGATATTGGCTCCACTTGCAGCTGCGAAAATATACCGAAATAATTCATAACTTCATGGAGTTAAAGTCATTTTAATTTGACAAGAGGAACTCCAATTAATTCTACCTGAAACCGAATTTTGATCACATCAATGGGTTGACAAGTGAGTCGAGTCATAAATCCACTGACAGCTCCAGCAACAGCATGATCACTACTATATTCATTCCTCCTCATTAACATTATCTATTTTCCTGATAACACTCCACCTATTATCCCGAATTAACTTGATAATTGTCATCTCTCATTGACTTTGCAATGTTCTTCTAGAAATTCCTGAGAAACAGCTGATAAAATTAAATATTACATTTTTCCACACGTCAATCTCAAGTTTTCAAAAAAAAATAGGAAAAAAATTAATATACGTGGGGGAGAGGGCGTAGAGCATCCCTTAACCTACACCCAGTGCACATGAAAAAAAACAGGACCTCCCACGTGTGACACCACGTGACCCCGAGCGGTCGACCAATGGGATCTCAGCGACTGAATGGCGGAAAAAAACTGAAAACCCGTTAGCCCATGCACGACGTTTTTTCGTCGTTCTCCAGTTGATTTCAAGGTTTAGATTATTTTTCAATTGAATACATGATTATGAAGGTGTCTGGAAATTATTGCATTGTCATTTGGTGGTTTTTGTCAGCGGTTGATGCATTTCCTAGGAGAAATTACGATCTCCATGTGCCCATGAAAGTCAGACCAATTCTTCCGGATATAGGTGGGTGTAAATTATCTGGGTTCCATCGAAAATCATCTCTCATAAATAATCAGAAGAATAAATCAATCCCACGAAAATTTCATTGAGTTTAAGATTTTTTTTATTTCTGGAATTCTTCGGGTGCGAATTATCTGGTGTTTATATTTATATAATTATAATTAAATAATTTTTATCAGTGGAGCATTCCTCTGGTGACCTCGACACACTCCAGCGAACAGGGCAAGACCCCGAGGTGCGTCCAGGATTATTCCAGGGTGACATTATGATGACTAATGAGGTAAAACAATTTTTTCCGAAACGAAAATGAATAATTAATACCGATTCTCTTCAGGTCTTCAATTATTGGCGTCTCGGCCTTCGCTGGGATCGTTATCCCGAAAAATTGTGGAGTAATCGAACAGTGCCTTACGTTATCAGTCCTTTGTACAGTGAGTGAAATTAAAATTGGAAGAAATTTTTTCGGTTGAATGATTGCCCTTGGATTTTCGCGAATTTCAGGTCCGGAGGATTACGTCACAATTTACAAAGCAATATCGTACATGAATTACATGACGTGCGTCAATTTTGTTCCCTGGGATGAGAAGGCTAAGGATTTCGTGCTCATCTGGCCCATAAAGTACCCCAAAGGGTAAATTAATTAAAAATTAATTTCACCCTTGAAATTTTATCAATAATATTATTTTTATCATGATAATTCGGGGCTCTTATGTGAGTTTATGTTGAATTAATTACGGTTACAGGTGCTGGTCATTTATAGGAAAATTTGGTGGGGGGCAATTACTGTCGTTACAACCACCGGATGAACGTGGACCGAATTGCCTCGGAAATGAGGGCAGAGCTGTTCATGAACTATTACACGCGCTTGGAATATTTCACGAGCAGAGTAGAGCAGACCGTGATAATTTCGTTACTATTCAGAAAGAAAATATTATCTCAAGTAAGGAGGAAAGCCTACGCGAAATTTCCGCACACAGAATTAACGAGAATAATCAGAACTGAAATAAAATTCTTGATTCAATCCTACGATTGATTGAAATTAATTCAGTAGGGGTAATTATTTCTCTCGGTGTGACTTAATTATTTGATTTTTTTCAGATTTCCAGATTAATTTTGAAAAGGAATCCCTAGAGAACACGACCTACAGTTACGAATACGATTACAGCAGCATAATGCACTACGGCAGTGATTATTTCAGTAAAAGTCCCGGTAAACCGACGATTATTCCGACAATGGCAGGTGCAATTGTTGGACAGAGAAGAGCAATGTCCAAGACAGATTGTCTGAAAGTCAATGAACTCTACGGATGCCTGGATAATTCCATAGAAGCGCGAAGATGGAATAACATTTGCACAGCCCTCGGCCTGTGAACCATAAAATTTTCTTTTATCAACAGCAATTTTCCTCAGGGGGAAATCGATGGCTCGCCGATATCAGGAATTGGCCAGATGATGTCCTCCTTCTCTCTCATTCCGGTCCAGTAATTCTCAGTAATGTCAGACAATTCAAAGCCACGAGTGCTTTTCAGTAATGACTTGATTAAATTTTCCGAAGGAATCGATGCGCCTGGATTTTCACGACTCAATGCATCCAATTTGTCTTTCAATTCTTCCTGAAATTATCACATGTCTTTTAAATATTATTGAGATAAAACCATAAATAATAATTAATCTCAACACTGGAGGAATTCACTCACAATATTTTTCGTATTGCTTCTCAACTCGAAATAGAACTTGTACAATCTGTCGACGAGTCTGAAGTAAAATATTTTCATCTCCGTGACATCCGTGAATTCCGTTACTGCACAATCATTCGTGGGATTAATTTCCCGCATGAACCATCTTGGAAATAATCTGCCAGTCGTGGTGGTGTGGACCGGAAGACATCTGCAGACTGCAAGACCATTCTCTCGATTGATGATAAAATCCAAACAGGTGGTGTAAATGGTTTCCTCGTCGGCCTCGACCAAGTGCACCACTGACGTAGGATAAACCAATAAAAGACCAGTAACTCGATCAAAGAAGCTGTTCGTTGAGTACTCGTTGAAGAAGGTCAACACTTGCTGGCGCGATTCTATCCCTGCGAAATATATTAACCGACAGATATTGTTGGCTTCGAGGGTGTTGATTACATCCAGGACAGATCGTTTTGGAGGTTCTTCCATGTTGTTTCCGTGTTTGATCAATAGCTCCTACATCCTCTCAGATTCGGAATTGCCAGTGCAAATCGGAAAAACAGAGATTCAGTTTCCTGTAATGCTTTTATTTATTTTAATTATGCAACGTGATGCATGGATGATGGTAGGAATGAATAAAAAATCATATGTAAATTTTTCACTGAATTTGTTTTATTTTCTTGTACGGGCTATGCACCCAGCCAGATTGACATTGTTTTTTTAATAATAATCCTTGCAACGGTTTTACAATCACGACAAAGAATTATTTACGGATTATGGAACTTCCTGAAACCGCCAGATTATTCCTTGAACTTCCTGTTCTGTATTATTATGTTTGGTGTACATCGATTAGGATACAAAGAAAGAAATAATAAAACCTAGTGTTTGCAGATCAAATACAAGATCCTGTTGACCATATTCCAGAATCAATGGAATGAATACTGAAGGGTTCTTCTCCATTAATAAGTTTCCTCAACAACTTAAAAGAAAAAAAAATGGTCGCTGTCTATTTGAATGAATTTCTACCTTGAAAAAAAAATCCATTCATTTAAATTGAACTACTAAATTAGGAAAATCATTCGAGTTCTATTCAAAAATTAGAAGAAAATTGAATCTACGACGTATCACCAATAGAAAAAAACTGATTAATAAACCCTAAATCTTTGTCAGCGAGTGACAGGGCTGAATCTACTTAAAAAAGGTACTTTTTTTTTTTCAATATTCGATGATAAATACAAATGAAATTATTTAGATACTGAAACCAGTGATAACCGATTATGTATTGGGTAACTGGAGATTGATATTTCGTACTGATTTTCACTGTTTATCTTTATCGTTTGTGTAACAGTTTCAAAAACAACTGTTGTGTCCAGCTTCCCAGGAATTTGTTCGGTTGCCATGGTTATTCATAGAATCACATAATCAGCTGTAGTTTCCATAACCATTGCTACGGTTGTCAAATCGTTTATGCTGTCCTGAGAATGTGTTTTCACGTCCACCTCGACCACCCCCATATCCCCAACGATCTGCAAATGAATCAAAACGAAAATAAATATTAATCCCCGTGACATTTTTTCTCCGCTTTTTTCACAGTGAAGGTATTCCAGAATCAATGCAATGAAAAATTAAAAAATCAATGGAAAAATGTTTAAATAAAATGATTATTCAATTGAAAAATACTCACTGCGTCCACCATAAGATCCACCACCTCCACTTTTAGCAGCGAGTTCGCTCAGTTTAGGATTAACAACCTGATTAGCCTCTTTAAGTACATTAATCAGATCCTTAGCCTGTCGGCTGTTTTGTGGTGTAAAGAATGCATAACTCGTTCCAGTCGACTGTGAACGTCCAGTTCTACCAATCCTGTGGATGTAGTCCTCTGACGACGATGGATAATCGAAGTTGATCACGTACTTCACGTCATCGACGTCTAAACAACATCATTAATCAGCCAAAAAAAAAAATAAATAATCCATAATTTCCCCCTAATCTGTTCCCAGTGTTTATCAGCAATGTACCATGATTTTCATGAAGAGACAATCTTTGCAATCCCATCGACAAATGTAAATACTAATGATGGAATGAATTGTGAGATTAAGTTAGTAAAAAAAAAAACATAACTGAGGAACAAATGCTAATGTTGTGCGTGTGTTGATGGATAATACAGAAAATGTTATTCAGCAGTGGAAGACGATTACATGTGGAGATCTGTTCTTAATTATTATTCAACACTGAGTCTCCAATTAAGAATGTCCAAATACTTCCATCATCTTCTCGTTATCATTATTTGAATAATTTATTCATAAAACTTCAATTGAACTTCGATATTTTGAAAAATAAATCGCGACACTGAAATATCCGATTTTTTTTCTTCGAGGAATTATTTGATCATCCTTAAACCCAATAACTTCATCTCCACCACTTCACAACAGAATATAAATAAATTATACATGAAAAAAAAAAAATTGTTAGGTTGGATGTTGTGATAATACAAACCGGAATAAACCGATGAACATTGCATTCCATACTGAAGTCAATAAACCAGCACACGCATCCCCTTGTTGTGTTTAACCCCGAATTCATTTCTCATTCTTCAAAAATATTTCTTGACTCCACAATATTTTTTTTTAAAACTCTACCACGATACCCTTCGAGTAGCGATAGTAGCAAAATCAATAGATTGTTGTCTCGCACCTTGCTGACCCGACTGTGTTGGATTAATTTGTTTTTTTTTTGTTTACAATTGAACAGCCGTGAACACAGGGCGACAAGTGACCCGTTACCACCCTGCGTGGTACACAGGACTCTCACACAGAGGCACATTGTAAGTACATGCTTATTTCTTTTTTTTTTGTATTCAAACTTCATGATAAATCACCGCATGTACGTCTATATATTCATATATAGCTTTTATCAAGAGCACAGACAGGTGAGTGAGCCATGGTATTCACGTATCCAAACGTGATTTATTTTTATTTTTTTCATCGCACACTCAACATCATCTGTGCACCATGTGCCTCTGAAACAAACGACAACCAGACTGATTAACATAAATTATAAGATGCCCACACTTATCATCTAACTTTAATTCCCATTTTATTTCACTAAGTAAATTGAATTCTGAAGTCGAGCAGTGGAGAATAATCAATCAATTGATTCGATCATTTTCAATAAGTGCATTCATCTCTTCCATGAAGATCTGAATTGAGAAACAGAAGGATAAATTGAGATAAATATCCCTCACATCTCGAATGATCTAACGAAAATTAATCCCCAATTGAAATCAACTCATTCTCATCCACCAATTGACTGATCAATTTTTATGCTTATTCCTTTCATCTCCTCGATTATTTTTTACTGTCTCTCAATCCTTCGACACCCCGACTATTAATCTAATCTAATTGTTGCAATTTTCTACTACTTTGGTGAAGATATCTCAGGTGGAGCAATTGAAAATGATAAATAGGATTTACTGGGGGATCCCATTAGACAGGAGTGGACCATTGGTTGTTAGAGTGACTGGAGATTTGTTAGTTTAAGTCGAAGTACTTGAGACGAAAAAAATGTGTATCTGACGTTGAGCCACCGGCAGTGAAACATCGCCTCGAAAATCCTGGATAAGCTTTATCTCAACTCCACGAGTGAGGCATCAACTTCATATAACCAGTCTGTGCTACATCGCCACCCTCCCCGAGTTTTATTATCGATTATATCTCAAACACCACCCCGTTATGAAAATCAAGTTCATGACTACGCGTTTTTTTAAATAAATAATCAAATTAATTTTTTTTTTCTTGGTGATGACTTACCTAGTCCACGAGCTGCAACGTCTGTTGCTACGAGAATCGAGCCTTTTTTGTTTCTAAATTCTGTGAAGGGAGAGTAAATTCAGGAATTAACGCATTGATTAAATTATCCCGAAGAAAATGGTCAAAGAATTTCACGCGAATAATCAGGCAGGAATTCGTAATTCGTATCAGAAAATTCAAATTCGGCGGGCAGAGTACACAGTGGGTCTCGTACCTCTTAAAACATAATCGCGTTCCTGTTGTGACTTATCGCCATGCATGCAGACAGCTGGCCACCCATAACGACGAATATTCCTCGTGATGTTTTCCACTTTTTTCTTCGTTTCAACGAAGATAATAGTCTTGCCACCGTCGTCATTGACGTTGCCAATTTCCTGAAGGAGAGTTCCCAATCTGTGCAGAGAATTAATCAAACGATTAAAAAAAAAAATGATCACGCGAGTGAATTTTTCACATGAACGCATTAAATCAGTTCTTCTTAGAGGTATGAGATGTAAATATAATCACAAAATATTCATCGACCTTTTTCATCACATTCGAAAACACGAAATCCCAAAACAATAACAGAAACGAAATAAAATCACGAGAAGTCCAAAACGACTCGAGGTCACGAAATAAATAAACTACTCACTTTGTCTCTTTCTCATGCTCCTGGCAGACGTCAACAATCTGCAGAATATTGTGATTAGCAGACAGAGAGAGTGATCCAATATTGAGTTGTGTGTAATCGGTGAGATATTCCTCAGCAAGATTTCTGACTTCCTTGGGCCAAGTGGCAGACCACATGAGTACCTGCCTGTCAGGCCTGATCTGTTCAATGATCTTCCTGATCTGTGGCTCAAAACCCATATCCAGCATACGATCAGCCTCATCGAGAACGAGATAAGTGCACCTCCTGAGATTAGTTGTTCCACGCTCGAGAAAATCAATGAGACGTCCAGGTGTAGCAATGACAATCTCAACTCCTCGTTCAAGATCTCGTGCCTGTCCACCCTTGGGTGCTCCACCGAATATGCAGGTGTTCCTGACGTACGACAGAGATCCAAAATCCTGGGCAACAGTCTGAATCTGCTGGGCGAGCTCTCTCGTAGGTGCAAGAACAAGAGCAATTGGTCCATCACCACGATTCAGTGGCTGTTGGCTATTAATATGAACAATTGCTGGAAGAATATATCCAAGTGTCTTGCCAGATCCTGTCTGTGCTATTCCCACCATATTTCTCCCTGACATCGCAATAGGCCATCCCTGTGCCTGAATAGCTGTTGGCTCCGAAAATCCCTGCTTCCTTATTCCCTGCATAACGTAATCGGGAAAATTTCCCTCCTCGAAGTACTGAATTGGATTTGGAATTTTTTCACCCTTCAGGGTTATCTGCTTCTCACCACGATAAGTCTCTACCTCACGGGGATGCCTGTTGGCAACATTGGCGTGTGGTACGTAGAATTCTTTCTTGAAAGGCTTCAAATTCTCGTAATCCCAATTTGGCTTACGGAGATTACCTCCAGCACCTCCATTACCAGTTTTCATCGATCCTCCACGATTTCCAAAACGATTTGAGGAACCTGCGTTACCACCTCTACCACCGAATCGATTTCCACCACCGCCACCGCCACCACCACCATAACTATTTCGGGGGGGACCACCACGTTGGCCACCTCCTGAGAGTCCGTTATTTCCACCTGCACGGTATCCACCACCACCACCGGATGAACCTCCGTAAGTCCTGGCGAATAATAATTATTTGCTGGATTGAGAATTATATTTCAATAATATAAATTTGGGAATTGAATACAAATGGCCTTGAAAAAAAAAATACTCAATATTCAATTGGTGAGGGGAATATTATAATTGTTGCGAACTTTGAGAGACGAGATCCAGACGTAAATGTGTGGACACCGAAGGCATATAGCTCGTTAAAATTGCTCTACCTCCCACAAGCATTCATGCTCTGTCGATGTAACAAAACAGAGGCATGCCAAAATGAGAGGAAATTTTTAAATAATTCATCCTTCACGGAAGCGTCACGCAACGTGGTTCGATAAAACAACGCCTGCGACGTAACGCGTAATGGCGTCACAAAAAGGACGCGAGACTTTCCCAACAGTAAAATCACCCAATTTTCCCTCACAAAATCCCCCAAACCCTCAAATCACTCCCAAAAAATCCCCGGACACATAAAAAAATTGAGATAATTAGGAAACACTATTAAATTGATGAAAAAACGATGCGTCATCTTCAGTCTTTGTACTCACATAATTGCGGATGGGATGTACTGCTTTTCAGTCCCTCAACTCAAAGTTGATCGATGAATTTGAGTTTTTTTATAGAGCGGCAGAGATGTCTGAAATCACCACGAAAAATAATGATGAGTATTAATTAAGGGGTTGATGATTTCTTGTGGAAATTTTATTGTGTGAAATGGGAATGTGGAGTGAAGAAACGGAAAAATAAAATGGAGACGACTTACCCGTGCCGCTGGTAGGGACGGAAAGAACGTCGCTGGGTGAAGCCGGAAGTGGGTCGGTTTGGCTCCTCCCACCCTGCCATTCGGCGGGCGGAGGAGGGCATGATCGATTTTCATTGGTTGATGCTGACGTGATCACGCAGTCGACACGAGCTCGGATAATGATTTTTCCAGGAATTCCATCGTCTTCTCTGACATAGGGGCGCAGCTATGGGAGTGCGCATGCGTGATTGGAAACGTCCGGATTCCGGATTGCGAAATTTCATTTAATTTGGAAATGATTTTGGGAGAATTATTGTTGAATCGATTTTTTTTTCGTCGTGAGGATTTTTTTCTTGAGGTTTTTTTTTCAATCGGAGATCATTTTTGGATTTCGTGCGCAGACCGGATATTGATGTTGGAGTACGTCGCCATCTAGGTTGCGCGCGAACGCTTGAATTGCGGTTCGAGAAGATTCGAGAAATTTTGGGATTCGTCGGTGGAATATTTTTTATAATAATTTAAAAAATATATTGATCAATGAATAATGTTGAAGGTGAGGACAGGTGGGATAAAAAAATAAACCAGATAAAGGTGCAATATGATTTTTCTTTATTTTATTCTCTATTCATAATACTGTATAACATACAAGAAATGCACTTTAGTGAAACCTACAGAAGAGAATCTGAATGTAGAGCAGTAATTTACCCATTTTGAAAATTACATTTTTCCGTTACTTTTACAATAAAAATTTGTCTCCATATTAACCTGTGATAAATTAAATAATTGTTCATTTATTAATCATCAATCAAACATTATCCTCTTCACATTCCTCGGGCCTTGTCGTAATTAACGAGTTTGTCTCCCTTTTATTTTCATAAATCACACATAAATCTTGGCTTCATATTTTTCATTACCTCGAACCAAAAAAAAAAACAGAAAAAAATTAATGACAGAAGGCGTTAACGAGACTACTTAAGGGGTTGCTCCTCCATTACATGTTTCAGGACTTCCTATTAACGTTAATTACTCATCAATTATTTTTTTCACCATCTCTCGCGAGAAAAATTGGAGCAGTATGATATTAATATCACTGTGTTTTCATCATTTTAATTAAATTCTCCCAAATAATGTCATGGTCAGAAAATAAATACGATTTTTCTCTATGTTTCATAAATTCCCATTAAATTCATCTCCCCCACTTGCACTTTTTATGTTAATTATTTTCTCATATCAACTGTAAAAACTATTCAATTGGAATAAACACTCGGCTAACGACCAGGGAACGGCTTCTTGGTACTCTCTTATCTTTGTTTCTCGTGTTTTTTTTTTAATAGTTAATATCCAGTTAATATTCCAAACTAGTATATCAAATATAGAACTTATACAAGCCTGCTAACTTCGCCCAATTATATTCCCATTTTTCACGTTTTTCCCCTACAATATCACTTTGTGAAAAAAAGCAAATTACTCCCCTCGGATAAACGAATAATTATGCGTTATCAGTGTAATACAGTACAGTTGGTATTTATGATTTTGACTAGACTCTAGGCTATTTTTTTTTTCACCGATAAATGCGTTGATTAATCATGTTCTTGAATAAATTAATCGTGACAATCCCCTAATTATGATCGATAATTACTGTTTTTCTATAATTATTCGGCGTGTCAAATTCTCGAGAAAGGTAGGTGTTCATCAGACTAAACTAACACACGTTCGTCTATTTTATATGAATTTTTTCCTCGTCATTTCTCCCGAAAATTTCATGAAAATGTGGGAAAATTCTTTATTAAAATTTCATATTTCGATAGTGAATTTGGGGATGAGGTGTAAAATATCGTATATTCGGTAATATTTATCGTGAATTTAAGAGAGAAAAATTATAACGGAATAAACGCAATTGGGAATTAGCCGTTCCCACTCATCGGACGGCATTTTAGTACGATTCAATATAAAATATATCCTTTAGCACAATCAATTAATATACAAAATGTGTTATTATCGTTTTATCGACATCTTAACCCACGAAATGAACAAACGTCTTTCCTCGGCTGTACCCGACGAAAAATCCAAATACACATTAAACGTTTATTCTTCGTTATTTTCCTCGTACTCTCGTATAAATTGGCGAAAGATCAGTCTTGTATAAAAAGGAGATTGTTTCAACATTTACCTTATGCACATTTACGATTTACAATTAATAAGAAAGAGAAAAAAAAAAGACACGTTTTAGTACGCGATATCACAGCGCTCAGTTATAATCAAGGTACTAGAAGTTCACAGTTTACCTCGTTTTTAGACATTTGTTTCAATAAATCTAAAAAATTTGCTCTTATTCTCGTCCCCCGATTGAATACCGCATTCAATTATTTCTGAGTCGCGTGACGACGTAAATTCGTTATTTCTTTTATTTATCGATTGTAGGATTGATTAATTTCAATTTAACGACGATAACTGAACGAAAAATGTTGTAAAATAAAGAAGAACAATAGTGAGACCAAGCTGATGCTTCAATTCTGCTGTGGAGTGCCAGAAACTCAACGTTATTATTCTCGTGATTAAAAATAAATAATCCGTTTAACCACTCAACGAAAAAATCCTATTGATAATATTTTAAATGTATAAATACGTTATTTATTTACATAAATGGCAATCCTCGATTCATATAAAGCACGCCTATCTTTCTCATCAATTAGCGACACGTTTTACTCATTCCTAAATTTTTCATTGAAAAATTGTTAATCTCATTAATGAATTTTCTTCTGCTATTCTATTATCGTTTAAATGTGCATGTGTCTTGCAGATGAAAAGAGTGTATTGCATTTGTTGAGGAGTTCAAAAAACCCTGACAAATTGGCAATTAGCATCGAATAAATGCCATTCTCCCACAAATCGTATTTGTTTTTTATTATTCTTTTCCAAAAAAAATAATTCAACTATTTCCTAACAATATCTACCTAACAGTCGGAGTTTTTCACAGTAAAGAGTATCAGTTAGCAGAGATCTCGTCGTTGCCCCGTTTATTCATAGTTTTTTGTCTACTAAGTTTTTTTTTTTTCATTATTTATTTATTCCATTTAATTATTCTCATTGTAAATTAATTGCTTTATTTGAAAAATTCAACCACAAAAAGCCCCTTCATATTTTTTTTCCTTCAATTGGACCAATCAGTTGGGAGACTCACAAAACTGCCATTTTCTTATCTCAATTTATTAATCCTTGTCTCTTTTCTTTAATTACTTTTTTTTTCCCTTTAAGTCCCAAGTACGATGGAGCAAATTCATCGACTCATTATTGTTTTTAACATGATATGGTATACCACATATATAAAAATGAGGTGAGATAAGTTTTTCACATTTTCCCTCCCCCTATTTTTAAATCCAATGTCGCGCATCAGAATTTAAATTTCTCATTTTTATCCACAACTTCATTTTTTTATTTTTTCATTTATTGTAGTTATTTCTCTCAGTGTTTTTTTTCTATGCGCTACATTTTACATATCACAGAACTACGCGTTTACCCTCCGCTGTTGTTAATTAATTATTCACGTTAATTAATACGACGAAAGGCATACGCTAATGTACGGGAGCCTCCAGCTTTCCTTAATCCCTCAGTTTCCCTCTCTTTCACCCACTTGTGTATCAATGTTTCTTCTTCGTTTTGAAAAAAAAAAAAAATAATATATATATATATATATAATGAAATTTCTCATCGTCCGTCGATTTCATTACACGCGAAAAAATGCAATTGATTGATTGAGAAAATTGTTTTTCATCACAAATGATAAAATCATCTCGGGTCTGTTGTCACATTTACCTGAGATTCAAAAGTGTGCGTTTCATTTTAATTAATTATATATTATTCTGCTTGTTATCAATTGATTTGAGAGAAAAAGCTCGATCAGACGTGAGACGCGGATTGTGGAGGGCCGCCAAAAAACATACACATGCAAAAAAAAAATAATAATAAAAAGAAAAACAGTTAAATACCGTTGGTCTCGGAGATCCTCGTTATGATAAGGCATTTGTTATCATTTATTTTGTGGTTTTATCTTCTCTCATTTTTTCTTTATTTCCCTATAAATATTAAATTAAAGCGCAGCGCCCGGCCGCTCAATAGCCGAAACATCATTTTTTTCATCTTCAGTGTGTTAATGAGAAAAATTAATTAATGAAACCTGCCCTTTACTAACACGAGCCATTTGAGATAGAGAACGTAAATCGTAGGATTATTTATTTTAATTGCGCAAGACGCCTAGGTATTGAAAACACGGGTTGGACAATTATCTTCACATCTTCTCCTATCGGTTCATTTCTAATACATTAAAAGAAAACACTGACAACCTAGAAGTTGTATTCGATTAAACTAGGACATGAGTCAAAAGAAAAAAAAAATTAATGGGATGAGAAATAGATTAATTTAGACGCATCTCAGAAATGAGGAACTAAAAACAGGTACAATTAGGGGACTTTAGATTTGTTTTTTTTTTCTTTTTCATTATAATATTAAATATTCCGGCCCACTTAATGCACGTGCCTGCACTTTGTGAGGGCCACTCGGTGGCCAGTTGCATAAAATATAACATTTTCATGTTTTTTTTTCACAATTTGTTGGTCTAACAACAAATTACTTTTAGTTTCTTCACCTTGTGACATTTTTTTTATCATAACTTCATACAAAAATAAGGTACCGAGCTATTTGTTTGCACAGCCATGCGGACTATGCGCCCATTTGAAACCCATTTATTGAAATTTCAATTAATTATTCCTTTGTTTTTATTTTTCTTTTGGAAATTATCGAGACACATCCAGTCTCGTCGCAATTCACCGACAGATTTCGAGAACTGTTCGGTTTTTTTTTTGTTTCGACTTCTTTGGGCGCAATGGGCTCTTCACTTACTTTTTTATGCAAAAGGCCTTAACGTTTTTTTTTTAATTCAATTTCTTTTAATTGTCTACTTTTGTTCTGTAGAGCGTCTTCAGCAGTGTTTTTCATTTCCTTTATTCACGCAAACAGTGTCGCCTCCATTTATAACTCTTTTCGTTTTTTTTTTCCCATTAAATTAAATTATAAATTATGAATTATCCTAACCCACCCCCCTTCTATACGTTTCGTGCATTTCAGAAAAGCATACAGATAGTTGTACATAATGATTATTTTGCGAAGAGATTACTATTCAATTAGCATTAAAGGTAAATTTTTTATCCGACCAACATTTCAGTTATACTCGTGGCCGTATTAATCGATAATTATTTTATCATCTCATGTTTTATCATTTTCAATTATTAATATATCTTCATTATACCACTTGCTATTTTCTCCGAGCTATCATCTACGTCAATGACTCGACTGGAATGTGCCTCAAATTGGCGCATTATTAATTTTTTTCTGACATTTTCCACTTGATTACCCCTCTAACTCGATTATCCAACGAATTACTCACGAATTGTACTCGAGAAATATGCAGTGCATGAGCCCAGAATCAACGAAAAAATATTTCAACCCCTCGAGAATGAATTTCGCCAATGTCTCGCATCATTCCAGACAAAGTACCATAGAAAAAAAAAACGGGGGAAACAGAAAACTGAACGATAAAATAAAAACTAAAATAATGTGAGAAAACCCTAATAATAACTGGACGAAACAGAAAAGAAAATGTGGTATGCATCCTATCTACCCAGGAACACTGAAATCAATTTCCTCGATCTTCCCCATAATATTTTTCAATGTGAAAATTGTTAATACGATTACACATATACGATATCAATACCTTGAATTTAGCTGACCCCTCAAAAACAACAAACCCCCACTGTTTAATTTACCTGAACATGAATGAGATCTCACTGTTGTACAGGTGTCGGTGGATAGGGATAACCATAAGGTGGAACAGCCTGAAACTGTCCATAGCTCATGGACTGATAAGCACAGGCATTGGCAGTTGGTGGTGGTCTGTTAGTCTGGAAGAATTTGTTGTTAACAATACTCTGAATTCCAGAATCAGCATATCCACCAGAAGACATGATGAAAGGCGGTGGCATAGAGTAGCGTCCCTGTCCATTTTGATTACCAGGTGCTGGATATCCATTCTGTCTCGGTGCCGAATTAATGCGATTCCCCTGATACCCATTGGGACGATTCTGATACCTCTGCTGTCCCTGATTCCCCTGATAATTTGGATTACTACCATTCTGATACCCATTCTGATGGTACCCACTGTCCTGTCGCTGCTGTCCCTGATAATTGTTCTGATATCCCTGAACATTTCTGGGAACATATCCATGCTGCCTCGGCATCATCTGCCTCTCCTGTCCATTCTGGTGATGCTGATAACCATTGCCATGATGATTATTGTGCCAAGTGTTGCCAGTGGGGCTGGAATTGCTCCTTGGACTGGAATTGTTCTCCTTGTTGGATGGACGAGCAGTATTCCAACGCTGACGACCCTTGCCGAAATTGCCCCTCTGTGAATTAGCCAAATCAGCCAGCTGGGGATTAATAGCCTGTCCAGCCTCCTCGAGAACTGATATCAGCTCTTTAGCCTGGCGTGCATTATTCGGTGTGAAATAGGCATAAGCAGTTCCAGCGGCCTGACAACGACCAGTCCTCCCAATCCTGTGGATATAATCCTCCGAACTATTGGGATAATCAAAATTAACGACATACTTGACATCCTCAACGTCCAAACCACGAGCTGCTACATCAGTTGCCACGAGAATCGATGTTTTTCCATTTCTGAATTCCGATAGAACAAAATCACGCTCTGGCTGTGATTTATCTCCATGAATGGCAATAGCAGACCACCCGTCACGTTTAATAGCCTTTGTAATATCGTCGACCTTCTTCTTCGTCTCGACGAAAATTATTGTTTTATTTCCACGTTCACAGCCTATTTCACGGAGCAACCCAGCTAGCTTGGACTCCTTCTCATGCTCCTGACAGATCTCAATTATTTGTCGAATATTGTGATTAGCAGCGAGGGTGAGAGATCCAATATTAATTTGAATGTAATCACTGAGAAAGTCCTCAGCGAGTGCCTGAACCTCCTTTGGCCACGTGGCTGACCACATGAGTACCTGACGATCAGGTCTGATCTGCTCAATGATTTTTCTTATCTGGGGCTCGAAGCCCATATCGAGCATGCGATCAGCCTCATCCAATACCAAGTAAGTACATCTGCGCAGGTTTGTCGTACCCTTCTCGAGGAAATCGATGAGTCTCCCTGGAGTGGCAATGCAAATTTCAACACCTCGCTCGAGATCACGTGCCTGTGGCCCCTTGGGTGAACCACCAAAGATGCAGGTGTTCCGAATGTTCGAGGCGGTGCCAAAATCACGAGCAACACTCTGAATTTGTTGGGCAAGCTCTCTTGTTGGAGCAAGCACCAGGACAATTGGACCCTCACCACGTGTAAGACGAGGCTGATGATTGATGTGAACAGTTGCTGGGAGAATGTATGCTAGGGTCTTGCCTGAACCTGTTTGGGCTATTCCCACCATGTCACGTCCACTCAGGGCAATTGGCCAACCTTGAGCCTGAATTGCTGTGGGCTCCTGGAATCCCTGCTTGTGAATCTCCTGCATCACGTACTCCGGGAAATTGCTCTCTTCGAATGCCTGGATTGGATAGGGTGTGTTGTTACCCTTGACTGTTATCTCCTTGCCGATGTGGTACTGGGTCACATCGTCGGGGCTGCGACCTCTGATGTTCGGATGGGGTACGTACAAGTTTTTCGTGATTTGGGGGAGTGCCTGCATGTCCCAGGAGGGCTTCTTCAGGGAATCACCTGGGCACTTCTTCTGATTTGGATTCTTCTTTAGGGTGTACGTCGATTGGGACTGGGCATTTGTCTGGTGGGGCTGCTGGTGGTGCTGTTGATGATGCTGCTGGCTGTTCCAGTACGTCCCACCCACGCCCCTGTTGCCATACTCCCTGTTTTGCCGGGGTCTGTAACTGAGGAGTGAAGATCAGTTGGCTTAAAGCACATTTACCCACCACCATACGTTTTTAACTTGTATAAAAAAAAAATACTGAAGCCTTCAAAATAAATATCGCAAAAAATTCATTTCCACTGCTTCAATAATTTTTTCGAATAGACCAAATCCCCCAGAAAATTCAAAAAATAAAAATGATCAACACCAAAATGAAAGCTGTACCACCATTGGAAAGCCAAGAAAAATCAATGACAAATCCGTAAAAAAAGCCACAATTCACCCCCGAAAACCCCCGAAAAATTTCCACGAACGTATTATCTAATGAATTTCAAACACTCTCAAGAAACCCTGATAGGAATAACAAAATGGCCGGAACGGTAATGGCACAACCGAAGAGACTCGACCGGCCATGATGGTAAAAGGCTCTCTCGCTACCGAAAAAAAAAACTCTCCACTTCCATCAATACCCTCTCCAAAAATCAATTCCTAAATACTCACGAAGTTTGATTGGAATATCCGTTGCTATACATGATAGTACAGCCGTTGAATTCACCCACTGTTGTAAAAAAATCCTCTCGTCTCGTTGAATATATCAATCAACTTTAAATACCGCAGTCGACGTTCGCTCTTGTGCCCAATCAAACCTGCGAACAATGAGTTACAATTTTACCCCAAAATGGGTCATTTCCATTCGGTTTACGACATCTGTCGTGCCATAATTCGTGGGTTACACGATAATGTGAGGCGTGAGTAGATTATTAAATGGACTAAATCAATGAAATAGTCATTGGTTGGTGGAATTAAAGAAGAAACTTACCCTGAAAACCCGGTACAGAGACGACAATGGCTAACAGGCGCTGGGAAGACGGAAACGGGCGACTGGGCAAAACCTCGCACTTCGGTTTTCCTCGGTGTTCATCGTCTAACCCCCTACTTTTTTACACCAGCTGGTGGGTGATGTAGGGGGTCAAGGGGAGGATCACGTGATTATCGTGGACCAACGGGTGAGCTCTCCTCGGTGCGACGTTGCACATTTTACTGAGGCATCCCCCGGTGATAAGCCCTCCAATCAACGAGCTCACTCTAAAAATCGATTTCTTCCTCTTGACCCCCTCCCGATCCCCTCTGGGGTGCACCTTTTGTTTTTCTTCCTGGGTCAACCAGAGTTTTAAAGTGTATCTGCAATTTTTTCTACGAGATCTCATTTTTGGGATCAGTCATTGAATGTTTTTTGACTCTGCAACAAATTCATTTGGTTTTGGGGTGAGGAAAAAATTTATTTGTGAAGTAAATAAATTTATTTGAGGGGAATATGTCGGTGAATGTATTTTGCATCGTATAAGAATTATTTAATGAAAAAAATATGAAATATATGAAAAAAAATAGACGAATTAAGCTAACGAATGTTTATTTGTTACAGTTTACATTAAATACTGTACATCGTTTCTCAATACGTGGGAATGGGTCACAAATATTCATCTAGAAAAAAAGATTACAGTAATTCTCAAAAAAGAATAAAAGGAGCGAAAAAGTAAATTTACATTGGAACTAAAATTTTCACTCTGAAATATTATTTTCGTCGTTTTAGGGATCTCTTGGTTCATTACAAAATTAATAGTGATAGAAATAGTTGAGTAATGAGGCGCTGTAAAATCAAGGGAATTCGCCGTTCATTGCCAGAGGGCAATTCGCCAATTGCTCGTCTACATGATTTTTATTTATTCATTCTTTAATTCATTCAAATGACTTGATGGGAAAAATGCTCTTGCTCTTGTCGATTGTTATCTGGGAGATCTTCGAGGCAAAAAACATCACCTCTCGCTGCTCCAGTAGCTCTTTCCAATTACTTCTGAAAAAAAATTCAATTTCCATTTATTTTTGAGATCTTTATTCCGTGAATAAACCCTGACAGCTCAAAAATCAATAATATTTCGACTGAAAATCTTCCATTGATCGATCAACGAGATGATTAATAAAATTACCAGGGGCAGGACTGATTGATCCTTTTACACCTCGATTGTTAACTGGACTGCGACTTCTCGAGTAACTTCGACTGTAGCTTCTTCTTCCCCTGCCATTTCTCTCGCGACTGTGACTACGACTTCGACTCCTGGAATAACTTCGATCCTTTCCACCTCGAGGACCTCTGATACGCCATCGATTTCTTCCACCTGTCCACAAATAGTTGGTTAAAAAAAAAATATTATATTAATAAAACAAGATCCCAGAAGAAAGTAAAATTCATTGCCTCTCTGACGTCCGTAATTGCTCCCCCGACTGTCCGCAAGCTCCAGTAATTTTGGATTAATCACTTGATTGGCCTCCTTGAGTACTTGAATAAGATCATTCGCTTTGTTGGAATTATTCGGTGTGAAAAATGTATACGCTGTTCCAGTCTTCTGTCTACGACCAGTACGTCCAATTCGATGTACATAGTCTTCGGAACACGATGGATAGTCAAAGTTTATAACAAACTTGACGTCTTCAACGTCTGAAACGTGTAAAATTGAGTTAACAGATGTATTCAAGTAGAACATACATCGTGTATCGTGTTTTGCATGTTTATCAAATAATTTTAATATCTCGGAAAACTTGATATTTATGTTATAACATCGCGTCGCTTCCTATTTACATTCACAAAGGGATCAACGCGTATCAATAATTAAAAGGAGCTTTAATCGTTAAATCCCTCAGTGCAATCATAAACTGCAGCCTCTGGATAAAGGCTCAAATAATAATAGATATTTTTCATTAAAGACTGCAGTTTACGACTCGATACTCTACTCTAAATCAAATTTCCAAACCGAAAGGCATGAGATAGACAAAAATATTCGAAGTGAAGTTATGGAACGTCCATAGATCCCAGGTCCCAGTGATAAATAAAAAAGAAAAAAAAAAAGGAAATCCAGAACCAGAGACTTGCAAAGCGTTCCAGCACTCCTCCCCAAACTGACATACGAAAAAAAGAAAGAAAAAAAAACAAAAACACTGACGATTAACTCAAAAACTAAACCATATAAATGTGTAAAAAATTTGATTGGACTATGATATATCATACTAAATAAATGTCATCGGGCGAATTGTCGATAGCAACGTACGGATGGCAGTCGCCAGGCTGTATTCGTTTTAGCTCAGGTACCCATCAGCCTCGGCGTGCCCACTAATTGGTTGCTAATTGCAACCCCGTGTGTTTGTGTTGTGTTAGTGAGGGATGGGAAATGACATCTCCACCATCCCCCACCAGACCCCATCTCCCACGTACAAGTAGAGACCTGGTATAAATCCCATCTAGGCAATAACAATACGCCTTCAATGCTCTCACACATTTTTCCTCTCTATTGTTTTGGTTTTAACTCGACAATTACCAAATGACCATGATAATTGTTGTAACGGTGTTGAATGAACACCACGATGATTATTCCCCCATAATCACCTCGTAATCATCTCGTAATCATCTCGTAATCAGCTCATAATCACCTCGTAATCACCTCAGGATAATTTGGAGGGGGATGAAAGACGTTAGGTATTACCTTCTCGGTGGTCTCTATCCCATTATCATTACGTATATTAATCCATCGAGGTTTATTTCGATGATTGTTGGAGATCAACACTCGTGACACACATTATCACTCTCCCCTATATCTCGCGGTGAATTGTACGTGATAAGAGAGGCACGCGCAGCAGCCACCGCAGACAATGCAAACTTGGATGGTTTCGGTTCAAAGCCATGATCAATCGCCTTGGGAAGACCGAGCGGGATGTTTAATGCGGTCGTTATTGACAAAACCACACCGCTAACATATTCCCGAACACCCAGGATATGATTGTTTTCTCAGTGGCAATTAATATCTTTCGTAGTTTTGCATTAACCGGCGTGGGCCTGCGCGCAATGTGCCTCTGCAATTCAAAAACACATCCAACCCATTTAGGCTCACCATACACATGACGTTTTACCTATTTTTTTTTTATTTTTAGTTTTTTATATTGCCTTTTTCCATCATCAAGTGTGGATAAATGAAAATATAGTGGGGAGCAATGGATTTATTTCATGGAAATATCGGGTAAATAAAAGATAATGAGATGAACGATTTCATAATTGCTGGGACTATCGTAAAATTATGTTATTTATGTAGGTGACGGGTTTTGATTATTTTGGCTTACCTAGTCCTCGTGCTGCCACGTCAGTTGCTACGAGAATTGGAGCTTTACCAGACCTGAAATCTGAGGGGAAAAAATTTATGGTTTGATGGATTTAATCGTTGAAGTGACGAGGTGGGAGATTATTTTACCTTGTAATACCCAATCTCTCTCCTGTTGGGTCTTGTCACCGTGAATGCATACAGCTGGCCAACCGTCACGTTTCATTTTCCGGGTGATTTCCTCAACTCGACGTTTTGTTTCGATAAATACGATTGTCTTGTTCTCTTGCTCGGCCATTATCTCTTTCAGGAGTGTACTGAGTCTAGAGAGGAGTAAGCATTGATTAAACATTCATTATTATTTATTAATATTCAGTTCTATAAATTGTTTTTCCAGTATTTCCTGGGATTTAAGGAGAAAATTGAAAAACCCACTTGTTCTCCTTCTCGTACTCCGCACAGACATCGATGATTTGTAGAATATTATGATTGGCGGACAACTGGAGAGATCCAACGTTGATCTGTGCATAATCCTTCAAGAAATCCTCAGCCAGATTCTTCACCTCTTTCGGCCAAGTCGCTGACCACATGAGGGTCTGCCTGTCAGGTCTTATCTGCTCAATGATTTTTCTTATCTGGGGCTCAAATCCCATGTCTAGCATTCTGTCAGCTTCATCAAGCACTAGATAAGTGCATCTCTTCAGGTTTGTCCTTCCGGATTCGAGGAAATCCAGTAGACGTCCAGGGGTTGCGATAACAATTTCAACGCCGCCATCGAGATCACGTGCCTGGGCACCTTTTGGCGCTCCACCGTATAAACAGGTGTTTCTGATGCCAGAGCTGTGACCAAAATCATCAGCAACTTGCTGAATCTGTTGGGCAAGCTCACGAGTTGGTGCCAACACCAGAGCTATTGGTCCATCCTTGCGTCCCAGTTTTGGTTGACTCTTTATGTGGACTATTGCTGGGAGAATATACGAGAGGGTCTTTCCTGAACCCGTTGACGCTATTCCCACCATGTCACGACCACTCAGAGCTATTGGCCAGCCCTGGGCCTGGATTGACGTTGGCTCCGTGAATCCTTGTCTCCTGCCATGGAAAATCGTTAATTAAATTTCCTGAAATGCTATTTACTCGAATGTAATCATCAATGGGCTAAAAAAAATTAAGTGGAAAGAATGTTGATCCCCTGTTTACCAACGAAGTAATTTACAATCCAATATAAATAAATCCAATTTCCTTACTTGATCTCCTTGATGACATAATCAGGAAATCCGGCCTCATCAAAAGTGAAGACTGGATTGGGAATACTCTTGCCCCTGAGGGTGATCTCCTTCTGACTCCTGTATTGCTCGATGATCCTGGGATCCCGATGGATCACAGCATCACAGGGAATATAAAAATCCTTCTTGAATGGCTCCAGCCTTCCCATGTCCCACCTGGGTTTCCTCAGATTAGCTCCAGGTTGATTTCTACCCCCTCGATTACCTCCCCCACGATCCCTGACACCTCCGCCACCCCATCCCCTCCTGTCACGAGGTGATCGACTCCTGGTGCGACTCCTAGATCTTCTCCGACGTTCGCGCTCTCTGCTTCGACTTCAATCAGATTGAAACAAATATTCCAACAAAAACAATAACGATAATATTGATTTCCCCCGTTGATCCAATGGAAATTGTTTTTTTTTATTGAACAAGGGGAGAAGTGACGCGCAGACCCTGCGGACGCTCTTAAAATCATCGAGAGGCATTATCCAAGGACCTACCTTCTGTATCTCCCCATCTTCTTCGAGACTGTGCCACTGGCAATTCGGTGTGATTACTGGGTTATTGATTATTCACATAAAATTAATGCAAATGTCTTTGCACTGTAATTTTGGGTGGATTTTGAGGATCGAACGTGAATGGACAGCACAGGCTGAGTCAAAGACTCCCCGGAGACGATGCACTTTGCAGCGCCATCTTTAAATCATAAAGTTGCATTTTCATTCGTGGAACTGGCGATGAGGAGGGTGGAACCCAAAGAGGATTGACTGAAGTAGAGGCTGAGTTCTGGGGGTTAGAGTGACCCCAGCGGCATCGTAGTACTGCACCCCAAGAGAGGGAGGGCGCAACACGCAATGGTGGGGTGTTTTTTTTTTATTAACCAAGTTTTTATTGCAATGCTGGGGTATCCATCAAGTCGACGGGGTGAATTTTATTTTCTGCTGTACGAATGCTTTTTGTTTTTCATTTGTTTAACTGAAATTTAGTCGCCTGTAGCACGTACGGAAGGGGGAAACCACATCTCGTGGAATTTCAATGGAAAAAATTATTCAATGTATTGAATATATACCACTAATGAATTTATAATTTTAAATAAGCACGTTGACCTAGTGGTAACGTGCTCGACTGGCACGCCGGCGGCCGGGGTTCAATCCCGGCATCATTCATTTTTTTTTTATTTAAATAATTCCAATTTTTTTTTTTTGTTAATGGCAAATCAATCGAAATATTGTTTAAAAACTGAATATTTGATAATCGAGGAGATATGCAATGAAATTGAACAATTTGACATTTTTAAAAACGAAAGTTTTTCAATATATATACTCCTAATGAAATTT